TTAAAAGTACAAGGCTACGTAGATGCAAACTTTGGAGGTGAAGTTGATCACCGAAGAAGTACCACCGGTTACATTTTCACTGTGGCTACAAAAATTGTTAGTTGGATGTCACGGATATAAATGATTGTTGATTTATCCACTACAGAAGTTGAGTAGGTAGCAATTACAGAAGCTAGTGAGGAGTTGATATGGCTTCAAGGATTGTTAACAGAGTTGGGATTCATCCAGGAGAAGATTTTTTTGCACAGTGATAGTCAGAGTGCAATACATTTGGCAAAGAACTCTGCATTTCACTCTAGGACAAAACACATTGATATACGTTACCACTTCATCAGATCTTTACTTGAATATGAGGTGCTAACATTAAATAAGATTATCAGAAGTAAGAACCCAGAAGAGATGCTAACAAAGGTGGCGACTATTGATAAACTGAAGTTATACTCAACATGCACCCAAAGGAAGCACAATGCATGAATGACGGAACATGCACCAAAGTGTTTCTTATAATTTGACAGAAACTCAAAACATTTAATAACAAGAAAAACTAGAGAGAAGTAAAGGAAATAAAAAATAGAGATACAATTTATTTACCTTCTTGCCATTTAGATTGTGAGTTATGAGTGTTTTAAGTGTGTTGTAAACAATGTATATTTTCTCTTCCTATAAAAAAATTGCAGCATCCCGGAGATGTAGGCATTATTGGTCGAACTCCGTTATCAATTGGTGTGTCAATTATTTTGCATTTACTTTCACACATATACGACATTACACATAAGTGTAGCATAATTTTTCTTAACAGACTTTATATGCATGTGGCACTAACTCAATAATGGTTCTTCATATGAACTAGGTACCAAGGTCTGAACCCCGAGCCCCAACATCTAATATTGGGACAAGTCACTAGTCCTCGCATCTGAACTAGCAAACATGCCTCTTTCACAACAACGGCAATATATGATGCATGACATACAATAATGCAATGACAATCATACAACCGTAATTATATCCCAAAATCTGACTGTAAATAATCATGAAATGAAAATAACACAACAATGATTACAACTTAACATCTGACTATAAACAATCACGCATTTCAACACATCAACAGCAGTTCTCACTATGAACTACGCATCTCAACAATCATCAACAAGTATTTACAAAAATTCACATAATTGAACTTGCACTTCACATCATATATTCACACATCTAATAAACATCCAAACAACACTCAATCGTGTTAAATCATCTTAACGTTGCTTCATCATTAATTCATTCATTTACAACAATTAATTATTCGTTCGTTACCGTCGACTATTATGTAATAAGTAAAATAATTAATTTTCTAAAATTCCAGCACCCATCTAGCCTCTTAATACATCACTATGAGATAGTCATACGCGTTACCTTTCCAACAGTTTGAACTGCATCTCATTTGGATTTACGGAACTAAAGTTACAGAAAAAACACTAAAATGATAATTTTCTAGTTTTGACACTATTTTGCAACAATTAATCGATTAATTATTCCTATTAATTGATTAACATCAATATATTTTCCTAGGGTGTCAATCGATTGATACCTGCTATTTTTTCTATTTTTTTGTTCATTACACGAGCATCAATCGATTGTAGCAAATCATCAATCGATTGTCATAGTTCCTTTTTCAAAAAAAATTCAAATTTCCAAACGATCAATCAATTGACATCGGGGGGAGGGGGGGTTCAATCGATTAACATCAGCCAAATTTCCAAAAATCATAGTTTCAATCATGTTCACAACATCCCCTCCAATCCTTAACCTTCATACATCATATTGTAACATCCAAATACATCATATCATCAATTTAACAATATGAATCAATTTCAGAATAATTAACTATATCATAACACACAAATCAAATCACGAATCACAACAATTTGACATGTAATTTACACTATTTTCATAAAGAATATATGAACACATCAACAAAGGTGGAATCAAAAGAAAAACCTAGAAGATGGTGAGGATCCCTCTCTACCCTTCATACAATATACACTGATAGTAGATTAATCTCCCCCTTACTTTAGATTTTCAGCAAGACAAACTCTAAACTCCTCAACAATGGTGTTTTCTTCCCAACTCCTAGGTTTCCTCTCATGCATTTTTTTATCTTGTTCTCCAAAATAATATGTACTTACAAAATTTAGCCCTCGTCTTTTTGAATTTAAACCAAAACCTAATTCCCCTAAATTATGTTATCCTCTTATGACTCTAAACTTACTCTCATATTCCCTATATTGCTCTTACTCCTCTTACTAACTCCAATTTTCTTTATTTAAATTTCTAATAATTCAATTATTCACCAAATTCTATTATTTCACTTATTTTTCTACAACTATCTTATTTTCATTTTAAACCTAAATTTACCTCAATAGAATTATTTTTAACCATTCATCTATATTTAAATTAATTAAAATAATCCAATTAATTTCTCCATTCTCTTAAATATCCACCAAGACACATATATTCATCGATTTTCCAAAAACATATAAATTAATTTAAATAATCAAATAGAGCAAAAATAAATTCAATTAAATAATTTAATTGAATTCTTAGTGTTACACTACTCATATCCACCTCTAATCCATCATCAACATCTACCTCCCACTTAACTTTTATGCTTAGTTTCCAGCAGTGAACATGAACAGTGTCTATTGGTATTGGGATACCACCATGCGTGTATCTTCCTAACTCACAAGCACAGGGTAACTCATAAGATGTTATAAGAGTACAACCACATATTTTTCCATGGGTTCTCACATAATCAACCCTCAATAACTCATCAGTAATGCATCTCAAAGCAGCTAAGATACCGAACCATGCAGATTACCATAAAATAGACTTGTGTGCGTGTGCTCAACTTCATAAAATCTTTTTTGAAAAGAAGCTCTAATATTTTCCAATTGTAACTTCAAGTTGTTATTCATAGCCTCCCAACATTTGGCCATGTTACCTATATTGTTCCCTAACATCTGCTTTAACTTCCAATGAGCAGACTTAACCTAAAATAAACAAAAATTAAAATCATACAAACACAATAAAGTACAAAGTTACAATACTAATAAACATACATATTAGTCGCGATGCTACCCAAATGTAGCACTCGATTAATCCATACTCCAACAAATCTATGTCTATGAGGAGTCAATTGATGGGTCATCATGAGGAGGAAGCATTCACATTGAGTCAAACACTCATCTAAAGGTCAAAGATTCACCCAAATAAGTGAGAGAGACACCACATATTCACCCAAAACCTTAAGGTGATAGGTGTATGAGTCCTCTTACTTATAAATTGCTTAACCTCCACTTTTCTAAGTAATGTGGAACTTAGAACTCACACTTGTTTCTCAATGATTTCTCACTCAAGTGTGAGTCCATCCACTATGCTCCCCCTCAAGCGGAAGATCTTTGAACCACATGCTTGTACTGCCGTTGAGAGACACCCTTATCTCGTCATGGGCACTTCAACGAAACATGCCATCTGACCAACATGTCAGGAAGATTTTCGACACAAATAGTCGGTCCTTACACACGCAGAAGCATACTCACAAAAAAGAAAAAAAACAAATAATTCCAACAAAAACTTATAAAATCATACTTCAACTTGTAATTTTTTCAAGGACAAAATTAAAAACTCCCCATACAATTGCAAATTTTAAGGAGAAAATTACAAACCCTCCAAATTACCATTTTTTAACGGAAAAATTGTAAACCCTAACGGAAAAATTGCAAACCCTCTCAACAAACTATTTTTGAACAAAAAAATAGAAAACCCTATCTAAACACATAACTATCCAAATTTCCAAAACACTCAAAAGACTACTTTTGTAGTTGTATCCAAGACTAAAACTAACTATCTCTATTTATGTTGATACTCAAATTCTATTTTTTTTTTCTAAAACTCGATGTGGGACTTGGATGAATGTCAAAGACTCACCAAACAAGTGAGAGAGACATCACATATTCACCCAAAACCTTAAGGTGATAGGTGTATGGGTCCTCTTACTTATAAAGTGCTTAACCTCTACTTTTCTAAGCAATGTGGGACTTAGAACTCATACTTGTTTCCCAACATCAATCACATGTCATTCATATAATCAATAAATTCACTACAATGTACACATGCATGCTCAAGTTGTTACAACCATTGGTCATGCTCAACCTCATCACTAGCTCATGCAACTTTCATCAATAATGTGTTTATCTCCTTTTCCAAGTCATTCACCACATATTGTTTGCGTTTTGAACCAACATTTTTGTTAATGTGAAATTAACATAGAAAATTAATTGTCATTCGAAACACAATTTCAATTGCTTTCATCAAAGTAAGATCTTTATCAGTCAAAATCACTTGTGGACACAAATCTTTCTTCAGAAACAATTGTTTTACCTTATCTAACACCAAACAAAAATTCTTTGTCTGCTTATATTCCATATAAACAAATGCAACATCAAATGTCAACTCGGTTGATATCATGCCAATAACTTCAAACAAAGATTGTTTATATTTGTTTGACTTCTAAGTATTATCCATAACTAACAATATAGGAAATTAAAACTCTTTTCTCAAGTGTTACGATACATCAAAGATTTAAATCAAAACTGATTTTTGTTTTCAAAATCTCCGAACAATAGAAAAAAAATACACACCAGATAACTTATTGCAAATTATCTTGTATATAATAAATACATATCGGAAACTATTCTGAAAGTTATCCGATACATATGCAATTTTTGAAAAACTTTGAATAAATAACAAAAATTAAAATGATAAATTAGCTACGGTTAAGTTGACATTTTTCATAAAATATAAAGTATGAAGATAAGTGTAAAATTTTTTGTATAAGCCCGTGGGGTTTTGGACCTTTGATTATGTCGAAGAAAACTTCAAACGGCTAGCAACACAAGACAAGTGGTTGAGTGCGGGATAACGTGAAAGCGCGCGGTGGAAGGAGGAAGATGGCACTACTTTTCAACTTACAGTTTTCTCGTTGGACTTTTTACAAACACCTTTCGCCGCGTAAATATACAACGCTCTGTCAGCACAATTCCACCGCCAATTTATCCCATTTCGTAACCCTAACTTCCCGCCAGAAAGACCAGATTCATCTCTACGTCGATACACTTCTTCAATGGAACAAGGTATTCAGTTATTCTCTCTCACACAATAACACTCAATGTCTCAATTTACTTCAACACTCGCATTTTGTAATTGCAATTGCAGCGCATGAATCTATCCGCAGTAAAAGAAGTAAATGAAGTCATGGAAAGACACATCGAGGATTCCCTTGCGATTTTGCCTCCGTTAAGCGATAATTATATCAGTCACTGCAGCAATTCCATCGATAAGCTCAAACTCGTGGATGTTGGAACTGGTGCAGGTCTTCCTGGAGTAGTTTTGGCTATAGCTCGACCAGGTGATGTTAATTTTGAAACCAAAACTGTGTTATTGCTAGATGGAGTCAATTGTGACTAGTTATTTAGGCAATGTTCATGCAAATAAGTGCTTACTAGTTAGCTATTTTTGTAACAAAAGATATCATGGTAGTAAATGAGATCAGTTAACTAATTCAAACAGGTCTTTAATGCAATAGATTGGGATGTAACGCTGATGGAGTCTATGAACAAGCGGTGCGTCTTCTTGGAGCACGTTGTTGGTGTTATAGGTTCCACCAATGTTCAAATTGTAAGAGGAAGAGCAGAGGTACATCGACTCCACTTCTTTTAGTAAGAGTTTTTAATTTGAGTATCCAATGTGTGTGTTAAAATGTAAATGGGCGCAGGACAGAGTTTGGGGCAGGATCTTTGCTTCAGAGAGAAATTTGACATAGCAGTAGCCAGGGCAGTTGCAGAGACGAGAATATTAGGTACTATTGGGGAATTCATGATAATTTAATACTTTATTACCATGAAAACACTAGGTAACTTGCGTTGTTTGCTGATTTAGTGTTTGCTTCTAATTTGTTTTCCAGCTGAGTATTGTCTTCCGTTGGTTCGTGTTGGGGGAATGTTCATTGCTGCCAAGGGTCATGATCCTGAGGTAAGTAACAGATCTTAGATTAGGTATTCAATGTGTGAGAGCATCTTTAAAAACTTATACCTCCTAGTAGTGGGTGCAGTTTTTAATCTCTTTTGGTTATTTGTTAATGCATGATTGGATGATAATTTTAGAAACTATATACACGGATTGTAGATCAAGATTAAATAATTAAATATTTTTGTATTTTTCAGATAATAAGTACATCTCAAGTCTTGCCGAATTAATTTGTGTGACTTTTCTTTAAACGTCCCATGAATTTAAAATTGTGAACCATCTATTAATTTACTGTGTAATGAAATCGGATAGGGTGAAGTTAAAAAAGCTGAAAGCGCCATCAAGAAAATGGGCGCATCATTATTGCAAGTATGCTCAGGTACACAACTCTAAACCTTCAAACTTAAATCTTGCTATATATACTTTTGTACTCCTTTTTTTCCCTAAAAAATAAAATAAAATAGCTAAGGTTTTCTGAGAAGAAACTTGCATTTGTGTTCCGGCAAATATAGGATTTTAATAATCATATTTTCTATGAACTAAAAAGATTCATAACCTCCCTGTTAGATAGTGCTAACCATCATATGTAATATAATGGCAAGCTTTATTGGTAACATAAATTTTCAAGGATTTGATTCTCCTCCCCTCAATCTCTTAATTCGAATGATCTTGAGCATAGAGTAATGGCTCTATTTTACTGAAAAAATGTGAGGGAATTTAGTCAAAATTATTGGTGATGAATTGAAGGTGATGGTTGATCCTGTCCAATGACTTGTGGATGCTAGTCATTAAACTGTGCCTGTGGATCAAGGTACATACTACATAAGTGGTTATTGATAGTTTTAGTTGAAATGAACCAAGGCTGAATCGTAGAGGATAGCTTTTTCTTAGGAAGAGTAAATTTTGCTTTTTAATTTCACAGGCAAATTTCAGAATACCTTATATTTCTGTAAGGAAAGAAACTCATAATCCTATATCCACTGTTTTGTATAATTAAATTCTAGTTAAAAAAATGTTGAAATCATCATCAATTAGTTCCTTATCAAATAAGGCCCTAACAACCATAAATACACATTTTTTACACTCATAAATGAACAAGTGTCACAATCGCATATTACGCAATAAAAGATTACTCTACCTGCTTGAATGACTTTGATTATATTTGTCTTCCCTTGCATTTTTAGAAATAGTTAATTTTGGCTATACCCTTATGTTGATCCTATTTTTATTTCTATTCCAAAAGTTTGTGCTTCATTTCTATACATTGTTTCGTCATCGGTAAATAAGCTGGCTTATTGAAGTAATTTTATGTTGCTGTTACATGTTCAGTGGAATCGCAAAGCCCATATGGTCAGCGTACTGCCGTCATATGTCTAAAGGATCGGCACACCCCAATGAAATATCCCCGTGCTCCTGGTACACCAACCAAAGAACCATTGTAAGACCCATTTGATGTGCACCACAGACCTGATTTTCCTTTTACTTTCCCTGAACGAGTCTGAGAGAAGGACCCATTTGATGTGCACCAGAGACCTGATTTTCCGCTCAATTAGGATCAGTTTTTTTTTTTATCTAACTTATTATAAATTTATAATAGTAGAGTTGTTATTATTATTATTGTTATTTTTTTTTTACAGTAGTAATATTATGACTCTGTTCATTTTGATGCTACTCTAGTTGTACTTGCATACAGGCAAAGCATATTGCCGCATATTGCAACTATTTATGAAATAAAACAGTTAACTGCATTTTGTCTTAATATACTTCAAATCAAGAATGAATGAAGTTACTTCAAATAAACTAAATTTATTTAGCAAGTTTGCATTTATTTTTCCTTCTAATTAGAGACGGTTTTCTTTCTTATCCCACTCGCTTATTATGTGTTTATCTTCTTTCTTGTTAGAGTTATTAAAGGTAGTGGTAGAGTGATAGTGTAGTGCCATACACAGTAGGTGTTAGATTCTGAAACACGATTTCATCCGTTTTGAAGTTTACTAGAAAAATTACACTTCTCTTAAGCACACCTCATTCACACATTACCTCAGTATCCTTTTCGTCGCTGCTAGGTGTGATACCTTTGGCTTTTGCATGAATCTACTTACCATACCTACACTGTATGCTAAGTCAGGCCTTGTGTGACAAAGGTATCGAAGTGACCTAATAAGTCTTCTATATTGGGTTGGGTCGACATCATATTCATTTGAATCCTTCGACAGTTGCAATCTGGTCTCAGCTAGAGTCAAAGTTGGGTTGCAATCTTGCATCTCAAATCTCTTGAGTATTTCACCTGCATATCTTCTTTGGTGCATCATCAAACCTCTACTACTCTTGTAGAATTAGATGTCAAGAAAATATGAGAGATTTCCTAAGTCTGACATTTCAAACTCCTCACTCAAGTTATGTTTGAAGTCTTCGATCTCCTTCTTGCAACTTCCTGTTATCAACAGGTCATCGGCATAAAGGCATAGTATAAGCAGTTCACTACTGCTTCTTCTTACGTACACTCCATGCTAAGTCGTACACTTCACAAATTCCTTCTCCCTTAAGAAGTTGTTGATTTTCTTATTCCAAGCTCTTTGAGCTTGCTTAAGTCCATATAGGGCTTTATGCAGCCTGTACACCTTTCTTTCTTCGCCTCGTTTCACATACCTAGCTAGTTGTGCAACATAAAATTCTCCGTCTAATGGGCCATTAAGGAATGCACACTTCACGCCCATCTGACATGTGTGCCAATTGTTCATATTTGCTAGACCAACAACCAATCTGATTATGTTACTTCTCCTTTAAGATTCACATTCACCTTGTAAAACCACTTCACATAAAATGCCTTCTTGCCTTGAGGCAAATCAACAAGTGACCAGGTGTTGTTGACTTCGATGGAGTCTAACTCCTCATTCATTGCTTTCACCAACTTTAAATCTTCCAATGCCTCAACTGCATTGACTGGTTCGACATCTGCGTAGAAAGCATAATGTACCAGCTCACCTTCTTCATCGACCACATCATCTGATGTAATCACACATTCTTGCAACCTTACAGGAATGTGTCTTGTTCGTCGAGATCTGCTTGGGCCATCTTTATCTTTGACTTGTTCCTGTCGAACTTCACTTTCAACTCCAGTGGCTGGTTCTTCACAAGAGATTCTCACTGAATCCTTCTTGACACTCTCAGTTCAATCCCATTCTTTAAGCTCATCTATGATCACGTCCCTGCTGACCATCACCTACTTATTCACTGGGTCGAACAACTTGTAACCTCCAGTCAAATGATATCCTATCAAGATCATCTGATCTGACTTATCATCAAACTTCCTTCTCAACTGATCTGGCACATGTCTATGTGCTATAGATCCAGACACCTTCAAGTGACTAAGGCTAGGCTTGATACCAGACTAACATTCTTCTGGTGTGATTCCTTCAAGCTTCCTCGTCGGATATCTGTTTAATATGTATGTTGCTGTCGAAATCGCTTCTTCCTATAATTCTTTGGGTAGATGCTTTTCATTTAACATACTTCTCACCATGTTTATGGTGATTCTTTTCTTTCTTTCTACAATTCCGTTTTTTTGTGGAGTGTAGGGTGACACCACCTCATGCACAATCCCTTATTTTTCACATAATGTGTAACACCCCAAATTTATTGGAATATTTATTTAATTTATTTAAATATGAATATTCGTATTTTTGGTGATTTTCAGTGGTTGGTGTGAATATTGAGAATTATGGAGTTTTGAGTTATTTATTTAAATAATAGTATATAATATGAATATATTTGGTATTATTATTAATTTAAATAAATATAAGTTAATTTAAGGGCAAAGTGGACTTTTGAGGAGAAGTTAGTGAGGGTGAAATTGGAAAGCCCATTTTGAGGGGCAAAGTTAGGTTTAACAAAAAGGAATTTTGAGGGAATTAGGATTCATTCTTGTTAGACCGTGAAAAGAGAAGAAAAAGAGACCAGATATCTGAGGGAAGAGGATAGAGGCAAGGTTTCGTGAGGTTTCCAAGAACTCAAAGGAGAAAGGTTTGGAATCGACAAATCAAGGTATGAGGAGTATTACCTTCATTGTTTTCAATGTGTGATTCAATGTATTTAAAGTCGATTTAAGGATTTAGGAGGTTTTTGAGTTTGAGAAAATTAGGCCTTCGTGGCCAAATCTGTTTTTGAGTTTGTTTAAGTATGGGAGTATTACCTTCATTGTTTTCAATATATGATTCAATGTATTTAAAGCCGATTTAAGAGTTTAGGAGGTTTTTGAGTTTGAGAAAATTAGGCCTTCGTGGTCAAATCTGTTTTTGAGGTTGTTTAAGTATGGGAGTATTGCCTTCATTGTTTTCAATATGTGATTCAATGTGTTTAAACCCAATTTAAGAGTTTAGGGATTTTGAGTATTGAATAGTTGTTGCCTTTCTGGTGAGTTTAATGAGTTTGAGGGATTTGAACTGATGGTCTGATAGGTTTGAGGCTGATATGGAGTAAGGGAAATTAGGCCTTCGTGGCCAAAATCTGTTGTTGAGGTTTTAACCGTATAGAGTAATTGATTATGAGAACTCCAATGAATGTGGGAAAATTGTAAGGATTTTATGGGAATTTGAGGCGTAAATATGATACGGGATTGGCCTAATAAGTCGTAGATTTTGTGCCTTTATCGCTGTAATACTTTAGGAATGATTTGGGGGATGTTTTTGGGCGTTGGGGAATGAATTCGTATAGACTTTTGTTCTGATTTTGCTACTGCTGCATAGCAGCGATTTACTGTAATCGCGAGTTCGCAAAGCGAACAATTCTTCACAAAGCGAACATTCGCCCTAGACTCGCAAAGCGAGCATCACAGCGAACGTAGCAGCGTTTCACGAATTGTGTTCTTGTTCAATGTTGTGTTTATGTTTTGATGCTGTGATTTTCCTGATGAATTACCGTGAGTATAATTGTGAATTTTATAAGGATAATACATGACTGTATAATGAATTCCCATGAGTAATTGTGATGATTTATGATGTTGATTCCATGAGTTTTTGATGATTATATGATGACATGATTATTATGATGATTTTGATGAATGATGATGCACCTAATGAGTTTTATATGAGGATGATATTAACGTGTGCATCATGCATTCATATGCATTCTGGACTTCAGTCTAGTGTTTGATTCTTGTGCCTTCAGTCCCATTGTGCGGATGTGAGGTATTTTGTTGTGCTCCGGTTCTTGTGTAGAATCGATCCTATTGATGGGGATCTATGGAGGGTTGATGGCCCAGTGTCCATCGAACTTTGATGAATTGGTACCACATGCATGAGTCTTGTTGCATTTGCATTTATGTGACAGTTTGGTTTAATTTATGATATTATGACTTTTTGATGTTTCCTTGATGATTATGATGATGTTGAATACGAAAATGACGCTATTTTATATATTGATTTCTATATTGATTATTATGAATCATTTTACTCACCCTTCCTATTTGAATGTTGCGTCCACGTGGGTAACATGCAGATGACCAGGTTTAGCCGTGGATGCCGTCGATGACTTTTTGGAGTTTTTGACTTTTGGTTGACTTAGAGGATCTTGCTCTGATAGTGTAACATCGGGTTGGGGTCTTTGAGTTAAACCATGTTTTATTGATTATTGTTATTTTGATTATGTTGATGCGCAAGGAAAACTTTGAATTTTTCCTTTTTGAGTTCCGCTGTCTTTTGATCAGTTTTTGAGTAATTTTGGGAAAACCCGTTGTTTACCGAGCATTGACTTTTATTTGAGTTATTGGAAAAACCCTTTGAGGTGATTTTTATTATGTTTAAAATATTACTCTGATAAATGTGAATGATTTGCCATTATATTTTTGGGGTAGAAGAGGGTGTTATATTAGTGGTATCAGAATAGGTTGGTTCGTACGGCCAAGTTGTCTAATGTTATTTGTTCCCTAGTATGCGACATGTGTGTGAAAACACCGTCGATACACGTTTGTTTTCTAACCTTTGTCTACAAAAGTGGGAATGAAACAAGTGGGGGAGAAGCTTGTGCTTCTCCAGGATGCTTCAAGTGTGGAGTGGTGGCTCAGTGTGTCGATTAAGGCTCTTATAGCTTGGTAAAGATGGTTTATGCCCCCTCATGATTTTCGGATGTCTATTGACAAATTGAGGAACTGATCACCCTTAATCTCTTGTTGATAGTAGACAGAGTCATGTTGGATGGGATAGACGTGTCTTGCAAGCTTAGATGGCGTGTGCAGTGAATTGTTTTGAGTTAAGTTAAGTGCTTACAGATTGTTTTGGTGAGTCGGTGCAGGATGGTGCTGAGATGTTTATTTTGATGGAAACTTTGAGTGTTAATGAAAGTAGGGAAGTTGGTGATTTGCCAATTATTTGAGATTGTCCGGAAATTTTTCCTAATGAGATAAGTAATTTACCGTCGGAACTTGAAGTGGAGTTTACGATCGGCC